AAGAAGAGATGAAAGCTAAATATCCTCAATTGTTTTAGCGAGTATTAATTCCGAGGACGGAATTTCTTGAAGGAGGGAAGAGTTGTAAAACCCAAAAATTTYGAGGAATAAATAATTTATCTTTATTATTATTTTTATTTTATTTTTTATAAAATACACACACACACGTACTTATATATATATATAAGTTAAATAAAAATAGAAATTAAAATAAGTTTAAAAATCGGACCAAAAGTGAAAGAAAAAGTCAAGACATGGGTGAAAGTTGTAAATTCGCGATAGTTAAGGGGTTGGGTCAGATGTAAACAGGTCCAAATCAGAAGGACCTGTTTTGTAAATATGCATCAGACCTGCAATTCAGAAGGACCTGTTTTGTAAATATGCATCAGACCTGCAAATTCAGAAATACGAAAACGACCTCTCCTTTGAAGCTCTCTATTGGTCTGAATATTCAACTATTACGACAAAAAAATTCAATATACATGTAGACGACACTTTGCTCTACATTTTTCCTTCAAGAAAACCAAACTTTCGTTGAGAGTCGAAGGAGAAATCGGAGGGTGAAGTTCGGGTTCGAAAAGCTCCGTTTATTAACGATTGGAGGTAAAATACTCAACCAAATTTCGAGTTCTTTATATGGATGGCTTCGTTTTTAGATCCTCTATAAAACCTTAGTAGCCTTATGTCTCAGATTTTAGCTTTGAATGTTCGGTTTTGAGTTTTTTACTAATTTTCGAGTGGTTTTAAAACCGAAACTTTAAATGAGTAAATGGAACTCATTTCTTAATGAAATTCGTGTTCTTTATGTCAAAGTGTTGGTAAAAATATTACCAAGAGTTTGGTGCAAAAAGAATGAGGAAAAACTGTCAAAAAACGAGTCAAATCGAAACTTGAACTTGTGAAAACACGCAGCCATGGCTGCTGGCCGTTCTGGGCCGCTTAAATCTGTTGTTTCGACCCATAAAAATAAATAAATATATGTATATGCTTAGTAAGGGGGTCGAACCCATGACCCCAACACACAAAAAGATGTTCCAACCACCAGCTCCAATAAATCCTTGTGTTTTAAAGTTCGCTATAAAACATTTATGTCGGCTTATTTGTTCTTATTTAAAAAAAAAAAGAATTTTTGTATAGCCATTAAAGTTTCAAATATTTCCACACTATAACTTTATGAAATTTTTGACAAGTTTTACTTGGGTTTACAAAATGAAGTTTTTACCCAACTTTGATAAAATAAGAATTTATGAAATTTCCAAAATACTTTTAGAGTTAGATAAGTGTTTTTTTAGCGTTATGAAAATATACTAAATTAATCATACACTTGGTTTTGATACTTGATTAATTATTCTTATATGGATGCTTATAATAAATCATTTATTTAGATGATAAATAAATAAAATATAAAGTGTCGTAATAAGGAGAGTTATTATCGAACACTTTGGTTTTAGAGGATTCATATAAATTATAWATATGTTTCCTAGGGAGGGGTGTCTAMGTTAAATGTTTTAATTATTTAGATGATTTTTAATAATAGGATTTAAAGTGTTGTCTTTGAGTTTAATACTATCAAGACGCTTTGAATTTAGAGAGATGGATTTATAAGATCATAAAACGTTTATTTTGACGTTCTAGGAGGTCATCGAGTTTTGGACTTCGGATTTGACTAAAGTTAGTCAAGATTAACCGAGTGACTCAAGGGTTGACTTTTGTTAGTCTGACCCACGCAGATTTTAATAATATGGTCAAATTGAGTTATTTGAGGCATATTAGGATTCTCGGATGTGGAGTTTGACTTCAGGTCGGGCCGGATTGGCCATAGTTGAGTTTTATTGACTTTTTGAAGAGACCAAGTCACTCATTAGACATTGTGGTATGAAATGTGTAGGTCTTCCGTCAGAAGCTATCGGTAGTCGACCTACGAAATCAGGTGAGTCTTCATGAGATTTCACTGGGATGCATACCTAAGTATAAATTATTTTTGCATGATATGAATTGTTGATGATGTGTACGTATGCATGATATTTCAATTACATACATGTTATAATATATTTTACATGTATGTTATTTTTATGAATGGGTGCATGCTATGTGTTTAATCAGTTTTTGAATAACTCTAGCATGCTATTCCATATTAAAGTTTTATGATTCAAGGGTGGGCATTGACCAGTAAGTCACGACCAATATAAAACACGACCCGGACAAGTGGGTGATGAATTAAGACTGATATATCAACCTAGGGCGTGTTTGTGACTAAATGACTCATATCCGACTAAACATTATATGAGATCTCTTATTTTTAGTGTTTTAAATTATTATTTTTAAAGCTGAGACTTTTATTATAAAGTATGCATATATGCCAGATATATATATGTCAAGATATGATTTTATTCACGCAAACCATGAACTCACTGAGCTTTATAAGGTGACTATAGTATGCATCTCAGGGCCAGGTAGTTCGAGGTTGGATAAGGGCAAAGGACACGCTTAGAGAGTTGCTAATTATCATCTTATTTTTAGTCTTTTGTCTAGCAGCGTTGTGTTGATCTTTTGTAACTTAACCTGGTATGAGATGGGTTAGAACTTAAGTTAATTTTTGGGCGATTCAAAGACTTCCGCTGTAAACGGTTCAAACGGTTTTATTTTAGCCGTATTTTGGAGTATTTATTTAGGAATATGTTTCAGATTACGTAACATTTTAAAAAAAATGAGGGTGTTACACATGATATCAATCTGAACCTACGGAATCCCATCTGATTGTTGTAAAATGCATTTTCAGATACTTGAAGGGAACTCCTAACTTGGGTCTCTAGTACCCTAAGGGTTCAGGTTTTGACCTAATAGGTTATTCGGATAGTGTTTTTGCAGGTTGCAAGATCGATAAGAAAAGCACCACTGGAGGCTGTCAGCTTCTAGGTGGAAAGTTGGTGAGCTGGACAAGTAAGAAGCAAAACTCAGTGTCTAGATCAACCGCTGAAGCTGAATACAAAGCCTCTGGAAGTTGTTGTGCCCAAGTCCTTTGGATGAAAAACCAACTGAACAACTATGATCTTCAGTTCTCAAAGATCCCTATCTATTGTGATAGCACTAGTGCTATTGTATTTGCAAACAACCCTGTATTTCACTTCAAGACTAAACATATAGAGATCAGATATCATTTTATCAGAGATTATGTTATGAATGTTGAAATTGAACTTCATTTTGTTCCCACTGATTACCAACTCGCTGACCTTTTCACCAAGCCTCTTGATGAGACAAGATTTAACCTCTTAATCAGCGAACTGGGAATGCTAAATGATGAAAAATAAATTTCTTCAACTATACGCATCAATCAGTAAGTGAAATGATTCAGTGCTCTCACTCTATCATTGAACTATTGAGTAAATGTATCTATTATCTCTAAGGTATGTATTCTAGTTCTTCTTCTTTAAAACTTAAAACTATCACTGAAGCTTTTCTTCTTCAGTGATCAAAATGTTTTAAAAGATTGTTTAAGTGATTCTTTCTATCACTAAACATCTTAAATAAGTATATCTCTTTTATAATTATCTTTTTTTAAATGATCACTGAACCTTTCTACCTTCAATGATTCAATTTTTTTTTAAAAGATAGTTTCAGTGATTCCCTTATCATTGATGCTTTTATGGTAATATATTCTTCTAAGTTATTTTCCCTTCTTAAAACAAAACCAACACTGAAGCTTTTCTTCTTCAGTTATCAAATGTTTTAAAAGATTTTTATTTAGTGACTCTCTTATCACTAAATGTGACTCTTTGAATTTCGTAAAACCTTTTCGTTTTAAAAGAAATAGTTAATAAATCGTCTTTATGACGACATTCTCTGTTACCAATACGAGTCGCTTTGAGACACGTAAAAGTCTGACACACGTGACCTCCTACAACTTCCATCCTCTCAAGGATGAGAACGTGCCATATTTTTCATCATGGCGTTTTCTCAACAGTCGTTTTTTCCTCTCTCCTCCTACCTATAAATATGAGACTTCTTAACCACAAGGGTGGTGCCTGATTGGTTTGACCTTGGCTCTAAAGGTCAAAAGTACCAAGAGGTCTCAGGTTTAATGTAATAACCAGATCCTGGTTATTACTCAAGGTAATTTATATGTGATTATTTGATTAAATAATTATGTGATAGCATGATAATTTGATACATGATGGTATGTGGATTTGTGCATTAATTGAATATATATATATATATATATATTTGCATAACATGTGCATGGATGTATGCATGGAAAAGGTATGTATGCATATGTGTTTATGTGTGTGCATGCATGGTGTATGTATGCATGTATGTGGTTATATGCATAGGTGTATATATGAGATTGAGATGCATACACGTGGCTATGTGAGTTAGCCGACTTTCCATTTTGGGAAAGTATAAAAGGGGCTTCACCTCTTCATTCAACCTTTCCTGCTATTTTGAGTAAGTTGAGAGGTTTATAGAGAAGAGTTGTCCAGTTTGCTAAAGGGAGTGATTTCAAGTTGATTTCAAGTGTCAAGTTTTCAAAAGGGTTGATTTCTAACGTTTTGGATTCAAAAGCTTTATAAGGTGAGTGGTTTCTAACCTTTTT